GTCCTGTATCTGTCTATATTCCCCTGTTATCTCCTCTCACTGTCTCCTGTCCTGTGCCTGTTTGTATCACCTGCTCTATTCCTGTTATCTCCTCTGTCTCTCCTGTCCTGTAGTCTAACTGTATCACCTGCTCTATTCCTGTTATCTCCTCTCACTGTGTCTCCTGTACCTGTCTGTATCCCCCTGTTATCTCCTCTCCCTGTCCTTGCCCATGTATTCCTCATGTCTTGTGTATCCTCCTGTCGATTCTGCACATGTCTGTCTGAACTGACGGACTCGGTGCCGGTGTCGCACCCAGTTCAGTCTCCCCTGGAAATCTGCATCACATCACCCCCACCTCCCCCTCCCCACTCCCGACATGTTACGACAGTTTGGTTTTCTCAGCCTCCACATATAAAACGATTTACAAGTGACACATAAGCATAAAAGGCGCGCAGAGCCTTAGTGTGCGCTCTTTCGGGCTCCCCTGCCTTAGATTTGCCTTTACGTGACGGTACTTTTTAACAGTTGTTCTAGCAAACGCATGAGATACACCGAGAAAGAAAATCGACATAAACACACGCGAACAACGCAACAGGCTCCTTTTTGTTATCCACATCCTAACAAGCCAAGGCACAAACATGCCGGCGGGAGCCGCCTATGTCATCATACAAGCTGGGGAGGTTTACAGCTCGCATGACGGCGTGCGCTACAGAGGGGGATACAGGTCTCCGGGGGAGACTGAGCTGGATAGCACCCCCGCAGACAGGCGCAGTCGAACAGGCGCTTCCCTGCGGTCCGGGAGCTCGTCAGACCCGCCTGGCGCCTCCGCGCCGAGCTGTCCGGATCGCCGCCGCACACGCAGACACGCGGAGAGACCCGGACTCGTGTCCTGTCGCCGCCGGAGCTCTCCCGCGCCCGCGCCAGACACACGGGCGTTTTTGTCACGAGCTGTAGCACGGTGGGTTATGGGGGGAGCACGGTGACTCACTTCAACTCGCCCGCCGTGCAATATCGGCCCGGTCCGGTTTTCTCCCCGTTCGGGTCGGAGAACACAAACACAGCCCGGCTGAACACCAGCCTTCGCTGCTATCCGCAGACAAACAAGGGAGAGAGAGCCCCAGATGTTCGATTTTAAAGACATCTTGACGCTTTTCTGCACTAAAAGGCGCGTCAGTCTTTTGATATGCGGGTTGTACAAAATACGACTGTAGACTCGAGTGTCTTAGTTGGTGGGTCAATATTCTTTTAATGTTTCCTCAAGCGGGTGTCCTGCTCCAACGCTCCCCAGGAAACGCGGAATTTTTTTTACAACTGAGGGTTTTAATATTATTTTCATGGACCCGCAACGCGTCCCAGTTTTTGTAACACGGCTTCCTAGCGTGTCAACAACGCAGCACAGCGATATCGCGCTTTACAATAAGTCTCGAGTGTCAAAAACTACCAAAAAGTGAAATATCCCTTGCGGGGTCTCCGCCTTCTGTTCCCGGCGACACGTGGGGACGTTTCAGCTAAAAACAGGACGATTTCCCACTTTGGGGATGGTTTGTGCACGGGTGGGAAGCGCGGGC